TGTTAGACATTGTCAAGCAGCCTTGTTCTAAGGATTGAAAATAGTGTTGTATGGAAAGGATTTTAAGGGTGTCAAGATGTCCAGAGTGCTATTAGCTGGTGTTAGTACCAGCACGGTAATAGTGAGAAAAAGTGATCCCTTTCATGGTCTTGTGAGAAATTCAGATCAGGTGCCATCTAATCAGCTCGATATGAAGTCGCTACATCTGTTTTTCGGGAAGCCATGTCAAAGTGCCAGTCTTTTGTCTTAAATCTCCTGTCAAGGGTGAATATTTCTCCTCATTGATGGGATCTGAGAACACAGTCCTCAGAAGTGTTCATCTCAGCGGCCGCGTTCTGGGTAGAGACCACTTGCGTTCACTCCCGCTGCTCTGTATAGTACAGTGTTTGGGAGGTGTGAAGTTCTCTGACTGACGGAGAAGTGAGCAGTGAGGGAACTGTCTGGACAGATGGTGTGCGTCCCAGATTTTCTATCGTGTTACTGTGACCTTAAAAGGCAGGGAAAAGAACAGGGGAAGGCTGCGCGGAGCCATTTCTTTGGAAGACTCCCCAGCCATATGTCATTGTCAGCACTATTTACTTTCAGGAAATACAGGCTTTATCACACTGCCATTTCTAAAGGGGAAGACCTGAAACTTAAAACTAGTGTGAGGGTTTTCAAATTTTATAATACTGGGGTTTTTTGTTGTTGTTGTTGTTGTTGTTGTCGTTGTGTGTTTTTAAACCCATAAGTTATTCATGCTGAAAAAACCCCTAAAACTATAGAATACTTAACTTTTTTTTTTAAGGAGGGGAACTCCATGGCAAGCTTCTCTTCCCACTGATCCCTCTGACTGATACCTTGAATTCTGGGTTTTAATAATTTTACTATTAGCAGCAACTGTAAAGATGTAGTGACTACTGTATCTGCTAGGTACTCTCCACTGCATATAGTCTTAGATAATCCTCTGTTACACTTTGGATTCTGTGTTCTCCTACCAGCTCAGGCTTGAGGAAGCTAAGGCA